ATCCAAAGCCCCTTACAAGTATCTTCTTAGTAAATCCTAAGAATTTAGGGTTTTGTTTTTTTTTTCAGTATCTTGAAACAAGGTGTCACTAGGTAGTCCAAACTGGCTTTAAACTTGATGTGCAGCTATGTAGCCAAAGCTGGCCTCAAGCTCATGGCAGTCCTCCTACCTCACTCAGCCTTCTGAGTGCTGGGATTATAGACCTAACACTAACTAAACCAACTTCACATATGTTTGTAGGGTTGGGGGAAGTGTGTATACACATGAAGTAAATAATAGTTGTCGCCACCTTTTTTTTTTTTTTTTTTTGGTCTTTGAGACGGGGTCTCCCTGTAGCCCCAGCTGTCCTGGAACTCACTATGTAGACCAGGCTGGCCTTGAACTCACAGAGATCCGCCTTGCCTCTGCCTCCTGAGTGCTGGGATTAAAGGCTTGCGCCACCACGCCCAGCTACACCTTATTTTTTGAGACAAGATCTCTCATTGAACCTGACACTTGCCAATTCAACTAGAATGACTGGCCAGAATTCCAGGGATCCTCCTGTTGCCACCTCTCCTGCATTGACATACAGTTGCACACTGCCATTTGCTGGCTTTTATCTGAGGGGATCAAATTCTGGTCTTCCCATTTGTACATGAGGCACTTTACTGACTGAGCCATTTCCCCAGGCCCTAAGATTTTTGTTGTTGTGGTTGGTTGTTTCCATAGACAGAGTCTCATGTGGTTCAGACTGGCCTTGAATTTGCAGTGATCCTCTTGGGATTATAGGTGTGCATCACTAGCTTCTATGGCATTCCTAATTCATAGTTGAGAAAAATTAGTTTCTGAAATGTTAAGTGACTTGTTAAAGATCACACTTGCCTCTTTTATAGGATTGTATGGAGATTAACAAATACAGTGCCTAGAACAGTGTCTGGTGTATACTAAATGCTCACTAAATACTAATGTGATTACAGTTACTGAAGCATAGAGAATATAGCACTTATTCCCTGCTAGGGCCCATCTCCTTCATGGCAAAAAATAGAGTTCCAGGACAGCTGGGGCTACAGGGAGACCCTGTCTCCAAAAGACCAAAAAAAAAAAAAATTTATATATATATATGTAGTGTCCTTTCTAGTAAAGACAGGTATTTATAGTAGAAAAAAGAAACAGTAATAGAGGGATTTGTGGTTTAGTTAGCTACAGCATAATGTGTTTGGGGGTAAAAATGATAAAGAATATTTAGAAATGAATGTTCACATTGGGACATTGGGGGAAAACACTAGCGCTGTCTTGAAAGGATGGACACAGCTCATTGACAATGATGTGAAACAACTGGAATTGCTGGTGGGAATGCAGAGCAGTACAGCTGCTATGGAAAACAGTGTGGCAGCATCTTGTAAAACTAAGCATGTCTTACCATACAGTCCAGTAATCATCTTTCACCCCCAAAAGGTGAAACTTAAGTCTACACAAAAACCTGTACAAAGATGCTTATAGAAGCTGGGCATGGTGGCTTACTCCTGTAGTCCCAGCACTTGGGAAGCAGAGGCAGGTGGATCTCTGTGAGTTCAAGGCCAGCCTGGCCTACATAGTGAGTTCCAGGACAGCTGGAGCTACAGGGAGACCCTGTTTCAAAAAGACAAAAAAAAATAAAAAATAAAAAAAAAGATGTTTGTAGAAGCTTTATTCATAATTGCTGAACTGTAAGTATCTAAGATATCCTTCATTAAGTGAATGAATAAATAGACCATGGTACATTCACACCACAGAATGGGTTTCAGCAGTTAAAATAAAAGAGCAAGCGGGAGGACACGGTGGAGCACACCTTTAATTCCAGCACTTGGGAGGCAGAGGCAGGAGGATCCCTGTGACCCTGTCTCGAAAGACCTGGAGGAAATTTAAATTATGAAGTGGAAGAACCTAAAAGGTGGTATGCTGTATGCTTCCAACTATGTGACCTTCTGGAGAAGGTATTGTGGAGGCAATGAAAAGGTCATTGTTTACCAGTGACAGAGGAGGAGGGATGAATAGGCAGAGTACAGAGGATTTTTTTTTTTCATCTTTTTGAGACAGTTTCCCTGTAGTCCCAGCTGTATGTGTAAAAGTGTATTGCCTACATGTGTGTAAGTGCACCCATGTTGTGCAATACCCACAGAGGTCAGAAGAAGGTCTCGGATTCCCCTGGAACTGGAGTTACAGATTCCAGTTAGCAGCCATGTGACTGCTGGGAATTGAACCAGGGTCCTCTGCAAGAGCAGCCAGTGCTCTTAACCACTGAGCCATCATCTCTCCAGCCCTGTTTCACTATATTCTACTGGCCAAAACAAGTTAGAAGCAATGGGAAGAGAAATACACTCCAGCCCTTTTGTGGTTTTTTGTGTGTGTGTGTGTTTGTGTGGCAGGGTGGGGGGTGAGGGGGGTGGGATCACAAATGGAAGATGTCAGGATGAGTTTAGGATGTGTTACTTAGACCCTTTGGCTTTTTCTTTTGCCTAAATAGTGTTTCCTCAAAGTTAAGTTATTCAGAGCTCCTTAGATATAAACTTAATATCCTGTCTTTAATTCTTTCTCTGTCTCTCCTGGAGAGGACAAAATCAATTAAAATTGTTTTTATCAATAATTAATTGAGTTTTGAAAACTCTGAACTAGGCTGGAGAGATGATCAACTCAGCAGTTAAGAACACTGACTACTCTTGCAGTGGACCTGGGTTTGATTCCCAGCACCCACATGGCAGCTAACAATCATCCATAATTCCAGTTCCAGAGGATCCAACGCCCTCTTCTGACCTTCATGGACATGGCATGACATGGGTGCACTTACACACATGCACATAAAATAAAAATAATAAATAAAATATTGAAAAAAGAACTATAAAACCATTTTTTAAATTATTTATTTAATAACCACATACTTAGAAGAAGCATTTCGTTACAACAGCATTGACATAATCAATAACAATTTGAGAGCTAAGATGCTTCTCTTTCAAAATTGGCTGTAAT